ATTTTCCGACATCTTTATGGGCTCAGAATGCTCTGACATTACCGGTCCCTGTTGCATCTGCACACTGCCTACACGCTATCCACCTCAAACGGGATGTGTTCCAGTTGGTTTGTTCAGCATCAGCTGATGTCAGTTACATAAGGCTCGTGATTGGAGGAAGCCTGTTTGCAGAGACAAAGTATGGGCAGTTTCACAACCATGCGGTTCTCTCCTTGGCTTACTTCCTTGTATAAGACGACCTTCAATTTTTAGTCTAACGATTTTAGAAAAAAGTATCATCTTATACACAGAAAAATATGGTACTCTTGATCCTAAATGGCTTTTGGGTTCAAGTGATTTCAGTGATTCTTAAATTTAGTACCTTTTACAGTAGAACCATCGGATTGAAAAAGGAAATATCATTGAATATCATTTTCTTTTCAGGATTCTATTGACCTACAGAAGATAGCAGCAATGGGGCATTCTTTTGGTGCTGCCACAGCCATAGAAACTCTTAGCAAAGATGCACGATTCCAGTAAGAACTAGTAAAAAAACCCTGTCATGTTGACCTAGATGTTTTTCTTTTCAGTGACATTTGATTGATTTGTAAAAGTCAAGGAAGTCAGAGCTTGATGTGCAACGTCAAGAGAAAAAAACTTCTGTTACCAGTCAGATTACCAGTTGCATCACATTGATTGCTTGATTGATTACGTGTCATCAAGTCGTCAACTTTTAGCAACCACATAGATAGATTTTCTCCATTATGATCTGTCCCTAACCTGGTCCTTCAGCATTTCCAACGGTGCATTCATCACCACTGTAACTGAGTCCATACACCTTGCTGCTGGTTGTTCTCTTTTCTCTTTCCTTCTACTTTTCCCAGGATTAGAATCTTCTCCAGAGAGCTAGATCTTCACATAATGTGTCCAAAGTAGGAGCAGGTGATAAAGATTGCATTAAAATCTTTGTGTAAGTTTAATAATTGGCATCTGAATTTGTCGTTTTATTCTTCTCCATTCCTTTTGCTTTTATACTTCATGCACATTTATTAGATAGTAAGCCTATGGATGTACAGTTAGGGATAATTTATCTGGACTGCAAAATTTCATACAACCATGATATGGTAAAGAGAGAGAGAGAGAGAAAACTGGCTCTCAGCTGCCATCTAACGGCCATACAGATTTTACAGTAACTTTATAAAATCAAAAACTGTTGTTATCATATAAATAATTTTAAAAGCTTTATTTTGGAAGTAGTATCTCCATAAAGAGCCAGTTTGGTGTAGTGGTTAAGGCACCAGGCTAGAAACCAGGTGACCATGAGTTCTAGTCCCACTTTAGGCACAAAGCCAGCTGGGTGACCCTGGGCCAATCATCCTCTTTCAGCCCTAGGAAAAAGAAGGCAAGGGCAAACCACTTCTGAAAAACTTGCCAAGAAAACTGCAGGGACTTGTCTAGGCAGTCACCAGGAGTCAGCACTGACTTGAAGGCATACACAGACACACAGAATCTCCATAAATTCTTGCATAAATGTATGGAGTAGGTGAACAATGCACAGTGATTTCTGCCCATTTTAATGTGAATTGTATGGGTATATATTTAGTAATATTATTCAATAATCATAACAGCTCTCATTCCTCAGTTCTGAGAATTTTTTTTTTTTTTTTTGGGTGGTATGGTGGCTTTGCTAGCCAAACAAGAGCCAATGAATTGCTCTTTGTTATATTAAGGTTTCATTCCAAAAGATAGGTCATCCCCTGATTGTGAGATCCTCCTCTTATTTGCTTGTAGGTTCACTTTTCTAATTACTGTTTGTTGGTTTGACTGCTGATCCTATGACTGTTGGTAGGAAATGTTATTCCACATATAATCTGAGACTAGTGAAATGTCTCTCTTCAATCTGAATCGTTTGTAAAGTATTTCATGAATGGAAATCCTTCTCCATTGTAATGGGTATAAATTATTTTTTTGCAAGAGTTTGTACTGAACAGTGGAAAATTCTTTGAGGATTATTTTTTGTGATCAGAATATGTACTTAAGCAATTCTTACCTAAGTATGAATGTTACTATAATAAGGATATATACACATTTAATAGTAGAACTGCAGATGTAGGATTGATTGATTGATACATAAATTTGTATGCTACTTACTCCATAGATTCAAGGCAGCTTATCCCATAAAACAATAAAAATAAACATAAAACCACAGTAAAGAAAATTATTAAATAGTATCATATTGGCCAGCTCCAAGCCACTTCCAATAAAGTGATGTCAACCTTCTATAGTACTCTCCTTTCCATGGATTCATCTTGAAATTCACGGCCTGGTGCTCATGAAAGCTCAGTAATGCAGGATATTCGTAAACTATTCCCTGATAGATTGCTTTTGCTTTTCAGTCTCTACGTAAACAACTTATCATAGGAGAGTTCACCATCTCTTTAACACTGAACATGTCTTACAAGAAAGTTTCTCCTAATGGGACCTAATTAAACTAATGTAAAATGTCTCTGTGGATACAGATGTGTGATTTACAGCATCTATGTGCAGTTTAGGATGTCCAAAATTAGGACATGCAAGATTAGGATGTGCAAACTGGTACTGGCATGTTACACACAACACTTTTTTTTTCTGAACAGATGCGGTATTGCTCTTGATGCATGGATGTTTCCTCTGTCTGATGAAGTATATCCCAAAATTCACCAGCCATTGTTGTTTATTAATTCAGAAAAATTCCAGTGGGCTGTGAATATCCTAGAAATGAAGAAACTTAACTGCAAAGGCAGAGAAAGAAAAATGATAACTATCAAGTAAGTGTCAAACATCAATACGGTAGTCCCTGGGTTAAGAATGCCTGGTTTAAGGATGACCCATAGTTAAGAATGGAGCCTATTGTAGCAAAATGTGAGTTAAATACACAATGATTTGAGTTAAATACATAATATTACTTATACAGTGTTATACAATAATACTGTTCTGGCTTACATACAAATTCGACTTAAGGACAGACCTTGGGAACAAAACTTGTTTTTAAACTGGGGACTACTGTAGCCTTAATTTCTTTAGGATGGGGTTTAGAAGTATGGGGTTATACATAGAGTTACAAGTCATATACATTAAAACTAATCAGGTACAACTGAGATAAGCACCCATACCACCTTCAGGTGCTGTCCTTGAACCCCCAAATTATTATTTTTAAATTTTAAATAGCAAAAATCTCATGAGGCTAAAATATGACAAAATGTCAGAGATGCTATTGACAAAATCAAAAGATTTGATAATCCCACAACATTGTTATTGGTCCCTCTGAATTTTAACTGTCCCACAGGCAGTGTTTTTATAACTTTTCAGCCCACCTCACTCCTAATTGGTCTGATATCTGGGTTACATAATGCATCATCCAAGATCAAGTTTGGTAATTCATTGGTCCTCTTCAGGCTGCCTGGGATCTTTTTTCTGGGATCACTTTTCCATGACTGCTGCTTGGTCCATCCTGAACACATTGTTACAGTACTCCTCCTCCAAGAAGGTCTAAGTACTCTTTCTGAGTTCTTATTGATCAGGTTAATCTCCTCTGGACCCTCTGTTAAATTCAAGGGTATATATGTCCTTTATTTGGCTAAATCTAACGTCACCATTAGTCAAACACTTCTCATATTTGGGTCATTTCAGCCACTGGGAAAGAGTGTAGACCTGGCCCAGAAAGGAGTTATTGAACCACTAAGTTTCAGATTTTTTTTTTCAGTCCTGAAAAAAAGGGAAGTGTGAGAAAAGAAACTCTGACAGATTTTCAAGATTCTGTTTTCTTACCCTACAACAAAGGGTGTTCCTGTAATCCTTGCTGCTTCTATCTGTTGACTTTTCCTACCTTGGAATGACCAGAGTTTGTTGAACTGTGCTGCCTAAACTACTTATGTAGCTCGGGCCTCCAAGCCTGTATGTCTTAACTAAAGCCTGAACCCCTGTTCTAACACTCCATGTTCTATTCCTAATGAAAAGCAGCAGTCAGTACAGTAGGGAGTACACAACAGATTGATGTTGCTGATGGCTTTCTAGAAAGATTACCTTTATAGACTGAGTCCAATGCAAACCTAATATATAAATGCCACGTGGGTCGACATGAATACATTTCAGCTACATGCTGTACCTCTAATGCTTGATCACCCGTGGAGCATCTTTCCCTAAAACTGCTTGCTTTTCTGCAATAATGCTTTCTTATTCAAACCAGACTAGTGACAACTTGCTTATTATGACAGAGGCATCTTTATTCCCTTTTCTGAAAATGGGGAGAATCATAACTAAATTGCAATCCTTTGAGATGTTTGCTGTTCTGTCAAGGTTTGTGTGTAGGAGACCAGGACTAATGACCATCAGTTAGTATTTTCCTTTAGCACTTCTGTAGGAATGAAGTCACATCCAAGGGCCTTCTGCACTCTTAAATGGGGAAATAAGACCAATGATGCCTGAAACTGATACCTCTGGCTAATCCTAGGAGTTATATCCTTAGTGGGGGGATGGGGGGTGGGGGAAGTGGGAGAATACTCCTGTAATGCATAGTTTGCAGGTATGGGTTTCTAATTGTTCAGTTCTGTCTTTATAGTATGTACTCATATGTTATTGGTTTTAATGGTGGGAACTACATCTTTTTTGTTGTAGTACCATTTTATTTACCTTGAGTAGATGTGTATATAATTTTTTCCTTGACTAATAGTTTACACTAGGTAGCAGAATTTGAATGTAATTCATATGCATTGTATAATTTATTATTACTTTTTCTTTTTTGCTTTCCTATAGTCTGCATCAAACCATGACTTGTTTGATTACTTAAGGATAGAGTGCTTCCTACTGGCTCTGCAAAAAAACACCTAGCTTTTGAATTGTTAAGTTATAATATCTATTGCAGTATCCTTAGTCATCCCCTACAAAATAAGATCTTATACATTTCCTATCTTTCAGTAGCTCTCAAACTTCAAAAGCTACTTCTCCAGACCAACTAACTCATATAAGTCCATTCACAGGATTCAGGCTGGGGAGAGGGTGCATGCGTGCTGGGGAGAATGCTATGATGTGCATGCTGCAGTGCCACATGAGTGCAGGTGGGCTGGAAAGAGGGTGTTGTGAGGGGCAAGTGCATGCATGCTGGGAAGAGGGTGATGCAGTGCCACATGAGTGTGTGTGGGCTGGGAAGAGCATGTTGTGCTGTGTGAGTGTGTGTGGGCTGGGGAGAGGGTGCTGCTGCAAGTTGTGAGTATGTGCATGTTGGGAAGAGAGTGCTGCTATGAGGTGCAGCTGGGCGGGGGAGGGGGTGCTGCGGCTGGAGTGTGTGCTGTGGAGTATAAAATCCCTGGGATTTTGTACTCTGTAGCAGAGCTCCTCAGGAGAAAAAGTGACGGAAGTGACTTGCAACCTTCCCTGCCATCTTCCCCATTGGTTTTGCTTGTGGGAAGCGAGCAGGGAAGGTTGCAAATGATGATCATGTGACTGTCATAACTTTGAACAGTCGCTGAATGAGGGGTCCTTAACCAATGTGTGTATGTATATATACTGCATACACACACACACATAAAATATATGTTGAAGATGGCAATTCAAATAAGTTATATGAGTTAAAGAGGAAGAAAGGAAGGGGAGGGGAAAATTTTAAAGGTATCAAAGAAATGCAGTTTGGTTGGACAGTACTTGTTGCCTCACTCCTGTAGCAGTGAGGCAGAATCTGGTAACTTTATGGATGATAGTGCTTTTATGGTCTACTAAAAGATAGGAGACATACCCAGACATGAATGCTAATTGTTCAACAAGGACTGAGTTTTACCTCCAGGTTGCAATTGTGGTTGTGTTCCTTTGATCTCCAAAGGAAATGTTATTGCATGTGTTTTTATTATAATGATGATAAACAGTTCTAACCTATGTGTCCCTTAAGAAAAATAGAAAGGAACAAAAGACCCAGAACATTACCCCTCCCCCCCAAAAAAATCCTTGGAACAAACATGATAAAATATAGAGATAAAATATAAGGAAGAAAACAAAAATCTTCAGAACTGAAAATGTTTAATTAGGTTCTCTGTTTCAGCAGTGGTGAAAACTCCCTCTTGTAGGCAGACGTGTTTGATTACTTGTTAGGTTTATCCTTGTGCATTTTTGCTATTTGCAGAGGATCAGTACATCAGAGTTTTCCCGACTTTACATTCTTTGCTGGAAACATTGTTGGAAAGTTTTTTAAACTGAAAGGAGATATAGATCCAAAAACAGCTATTGATATTAGCAACAAAGCTTCACTGGCCTTTTTACAGAAACATTTGGGTAAGTTGCTGCATTGCTTTTATATTTAACTTGTAGCACCCCCTATCACTAAGGGCTGGTAAGGTGATAATATGTTATAGGCAATATCTTTCCACCTATGGATCACAATATTTGATGCAACTTTAGCCGTTGGTCACCAAAAGCTACCTGAAAATATAAAGATATTTGTGCATATATAATTGAACATGTTACATGTTACATTTCCTGTGGAGATTGTCAAAATGGATTTCATTGGTTTAGAACTGCTCACCATACAGGCCCTGTAGCACCTCTATGTCTTTTGGTTTGAGACCGTGAGTTCTAGTCAGGCAGTCATCAGGAGTCAAAAACTGACTTGAAGCCCCCCACCATCAAAAGAAAAGTTATGCATCCTTCAATTTCATCGACCACCCAAAGGCATCATGACTGTTTTCATCCTTATTGGAACTCCTCAGATGTAGGTAGCCAGATGTTACTGTATTCTATGAGGTTGAAACCCTCTACCAGAAATTGAACTCACAGACCTTTGCACTTTCGATGACTACTATATACAGTGCACTAGCTTTAGGAGCTGTTGAGGGCCTGGTGCTCAGTGGCTGCAGGAAGTGATATTTAGAAGCTCTATCAGAATGGTATATACAGTCCACCTTCCCTTAAGCTCTCAGAGCAGAGAGTTGCAGATGCTAAATTATGTCATGCTCCCAAGTATGGGGTTTTACATGACTTCCAGCTGGTTACATGGTGCCTCCTGGTGGTCAGTGTACCTGAAAATACCATGCACTGTAAAAAATAGAGAAGTTGCCCCCACTTCAAGAAGGGGAGGAGGAGTGGAAGTCATGTAATGTAGCATGTGTATCTCTCTGCTCTGAGAGCTTAAGGGAAGGTGAACTATATATGCCATTCGGATTCATCTCCCAAGCATCTGAGCCTTTTAAATACTACACAGAATAAAAAGGTTTTGCTTTAAGCTGAACTAAAGAACCAGTCATATAGTACACTTGTTTAGTATGAGCACTTTTAATATGTAAAAAGGCTTAGGCTGCATATCTGTATTCACTGACTAGATCTAGAGTAAACTCCATTTAAGCCATTGAGACATACAAGAAGGCAAACAGATTGTTTACCAGATGGCTTGGGACCCAGGTACCTGAATGAACACATATTTATATCAACCTGGCTATGTACTGAAATACATTTAAAGACATTCTTCCAAGTAAACCCCTTTTTACAGGTGGCCTTGCCAATAGCAGTACCTTGCCTGTGGAATGTTTTCCCCACAGACACATAGTTAACTTTTTGTGCCAGGCACTTAGTTTATTTTAATTTTTAAACATGTATTTTCTGTATTGTATCTCAATTTCTACCTCCTCTGGAAATTTTACTGAAAGGAGGAATATACTTTTCAAGTAAACATACTTTACAGTATGTTGATCTTACAACTTAGTTTTTTAAAAAAAAGTCTTTTCGGGCTTTATAAATTACAGAATAAGCATGCTCTTTAAATGGAGGACAGCCAGGCATATTTATCATGTAATCATGACATTTCTGTCTCCAACATAAATGAATGTCAGTTTTAGAACACCAAAGCAAGCTTAATTTTAATACATTGTAACTCAGAAACATTGAGATAGAGTTTCTCTGAACATGACTTAATACTGTGGTGTATCTGTATGTGCTGATTTGAATTTATCTTCTGTAGGTCTCTCAAAAGATTTTAACCAATGGGACCCTCTTTTAGATGGTGAAGGACTTAATGTCATTCCAGACACCAATATTGACTTAACTCCAGTGGCATCTGAATGAAAATAAAGATTTTAATTGCCCTTAACCATTCCTGACTACATGCTTCTTGTTTGCTGATAGCTCCATTGGAAAGAGTGAGTTTTATAATATTTTGGGCCAACTGAACAAACTAAAGATGGTCCTCATTTAACAACTACTCGTTCAGCAACCATTTGAACTTGCGATAGCACTGAACAAGTGGTAGTTGTGTTTGGTTCTTGAAGTTCTAGTTGTTGCAGCGTCCCTGCAGTCACATGACCGTGATCTGGCTGCTTGGCAACCAGCCCAGATTTCCAACCATCACAGCATCCCAACATCATGTGACTGCAATTTGAAACCTCCCCTGCTAGCTTTCCACAAGCAACATCAATGGGGAAGCCAGCAGGAAGTCAGAAATCACATCACGTGCGGTCCTTGCTTAATGACCCACCCAATCCTCACTTAACGACAGTAATCTGGGACTGCCAGAACTGCTGTTGCAAAGTAGCGTGTTCATATGACATCATGATTTACAACCGCATCACTTAGTGACAGAAATTCTGGTCCCAATTATTGTTGTTAAGCGAGGACTACCTTTATAGTTAAAATGGTAGTATTTTTAAGTTGAAACTTACTGAGTTGCTTTCTAATATTAAAGGAACAAAGAAAGGAACCAATTAATCATCAGTTACTAACATTTCTTTTATTAGTAGAGATGATTTAAACATATTCCTACCATTATATGAATTTTCAAAACCTGACAATCTGACAGTGTTACTATCCCTGCAAATAAAATGTGTGGGATTTCTGGAAGGGCTGGTAGCTGTACTGCAGTTCCCAGGAATTAATCCATAATGCTGGCTGGCTTCTGAGTGTTCTGATGTCAGGAGAGACGAGAGATAACCTTCTGGTTTATCCCTGTTTCCCCGCAACAGCATAATAGTCATTATCTACTTTTCATTTATTCACCCTGAACATAAATTGCCATCTGGTATTGGATACATTTGGGCCCCCAACTGATGGGACTAGGAAATTAGTTTATTTGCATGTAAATTTATTCCAGTAGGGTAAGGTTTTTGTCTTCCTCACAGTGGGATCTCCAGTCCTCCTCCTGAGCTGAAATTACTGTTACTTTTAGAAGTCATGTGTTAGTGGCATTGGGTAGGGTAAATTGAACTGTTATTGGTATGGCTTAATGAACCAAAGTATCTTAGGGAGATAAGATGCCTGCTACATATCCCGGTAACAAAATATGCCCACTCACCACTCTGTTATCATATGCCCTAGAGTTCTTTTTGCATTACTTCAACCATAAGATGAGTATGGTATAGGCCATTAATCGGACTGTCCAAAAACTGGATCTTTGCTGTGCCATACCAATGGGAACTATAACAGAAACTGTTTCTATATTTAATGCACTTTGATTTCTGAATATATAGTTATCCACTCACCCACCTATTCCATATCGCCAGTACCTTAGCTACGGGGTGCATTTATATGTTTTTCATACTGCAACGTTGGATCCTTCATAGGACAGAAATATTCATCCATCATTTTTGTTGGAAGCAAGCTAAAATCAAGTATTGATATGAGGTTTATTTCTGCTAACGTTTAAAACCTATATGTTTGTCACTGGGAATCCAAAAGGATACCTGGTATCCGTGTAACATAGCAGAGTGGTGTACAATACCAGCTGGAGTAAGGTAAAATGATTCTGTTTCAATTATTGTTTGGGTACATAATTTAGCAAGTTTGAATTTGGCTAAGTGGCTATCAGTCATCCAGGAAAATGAGGCAGGATAGAGGGCCATCTTCAAAAAGAAGGTACTTCTGCAGCAGCATCTGTACTGCTTTCACCTTTTTGCCCCCTCCCACCACTCTAGGGGTTATTTTGAAAATGAAAGGACTGAGTATAGGATTAGCCTTCTCCCATCCCAGATGTACCAGCTCTGATTTTGATCAGGCCATTTCTGGCTTCTTCCCATCCCCATCCCATAAAGTAGCAACACACACACACACACCATAGCTAAGGTACTGGCAATATGGAATAGGTGGGGGAGTGGATAACTATATATTCAGAAATCAAAGTGCATTAAATAAAGAGTTTCTGTTGGTATGGCACAGCAGAGATCCAGTTTTTGGACAGTCTGATTAATGGCCTATACCATATTCGTCTTATGTTGCTGAAGTAATACAAAAAGATGTAACACCTAGATCTGGCTTTGGGAAAATAGGAGCTAGGATCATGTCAGAGATTGAAGTCAGCTCCCCATTATGGTTAACAGTAAGCATACTTAGCATGTCATGTGACTATATTTTGCTAACTGATACTGTTTTCCCCTTTTCCAAAGGTTAGAATTTAGGTAAAAGCTAGTTTTGAGAATCAGCTGATAAACAGTGTTTTCAAAGGAAGAGTTACTCTTTGGAGTGAGATTCAAGTGAAAGGTTTGGACGCTTTTACTGAATTCTTAGCGTGTTTTTATTAAAACAATATTTTTAACAATATTTTAGCAGAAAGCTAGAATATAAATGAAACTGAAAAAATTATGTTTAAAAGAGGCAACCAGTTATGTAGTAATTTTAATATAAGATGTAATCCCAACCTGCTATCTTTCTGAACTCTTGTTATCAAAGCTTTAGTGGGACATGAAATCCGTGTTTGAGGTTCTGATAGTGTTACCATGACTGAAAGGCATCCTCCATTTCTCAGTCCTACCCCAGGAATACTCATGCTGTGTTCATTAACTATTTGGATAAACATTCTATGCTATCTTATACTGAGGATCTAAAAGGAAACTTAAAGTTGTGTTTCTTTAATTTTTAACACAGGTTCCTGAAAAGATGGTACTCTCTACTACTATATTTAAAATTACAAAAGCAGGATGATGAAAAAAATTCAGTATATGGTCAATCATATCACTAAGATTACAAATTTTCCAAATGCAAGAATATGAAACAATAGGATGAATTATTTCAGTATGTTTTATTTCATGTTTCATTAACAAAAAGGAAATTAACAACACACAAAACCTTCCCATATAGCCACATCATTTTTAAAGCTATTTTAATGGAAGTAAACTCAAAGTATGAAATATGCAACTTTCCCCCAAAACTATCTCCAGAGTTTAAACTTTCTTAGATTTGCAAGACAATGAACAGCCGTACAAGTCTAAAACCTTGTTCCTGAATCTTAACAAGGTGCATCATACAAAATAATGACAAACATTCTTGCAGGATATAGGTAAAAAAAACTCCTATAAGCTCTGCTGGTTTGGGCAGGACATGCCTGTTAAAACTCTCGCCTTCAATTAGAAAAAATCTGAATGTAAAATGATTTAGCATCGCTCAGCTGTACTCTCAGTGCTGTCACAACTCAAAAGGGTGGTGGTGTCATCTGAATCAAGAGTAACTTCTTCCACTATAAGAGATACAAATCAGTTTATTAAAATCACAAATATTTGCACATCGGTCAAATAATTAAAATTCCAAGTAAATTTCCTCACTTTCCTGTGTCCTACTAATGAACCATGCATAAGTCATATTCTTTCCTCACTTCTTACTCAAATTATAAAAGGATTTAATTCATGTGACCAGGTCCAATAAATGACAATGTTCTTCTGAAAAAGGAAACATCATGATAGTTGCCTTTTATTAATTCTGGTTAATGGAAGGTAAGTTTATCTGTACTATTACGGGTAGTCCTTGGGTTATGACCCTAATTTGAACTGGAATTTCTGTTACTAAGTGAAGCAGTTGTTAAGCAAAATATCACGTGATTGTGCCACTTAGCAAAGGCAGTTCCAGCAGTCCCGGTTGTGGTCATTAAGTGAAGACTGAGTAGCCATTAGGCGAGGACCTCACGCTTTTCCTGCCTTGCACAAACTGCTTCAACTCCCCCCATCTGCCTATCTCCCCCCCATCTCTGCCCCTTTGGCTGCCCTGCACTCTGCCGCCTACCCCTGCCGCCACCAGCTAACCTTCACCATCTTCTTCCTCCCGCTGCTGGCCCAGGATCCAAGCTCTGGGCATATTCTGTAGCTTGCGCTGGAAGCTCTCCTGGAAAACTGTCCTGTGGGCTTCAGCAAGGGATGGAGGTGAGCCCAGTGCCAACAAAGCCTACCCGCAGGCACTCTGCTCCTTGGCCCAGCCTTCCTCCTGCAAGGCCTTGTGAGGGGCCAGCAGCTTCCAATGTCAGCTGCAGAGCGTGTGAGCTGTGTATCCAGGAAGCCTTCTGCTTCCTCCAGTTTCACCACCACCCCAAACAACACTTCTTGCACATCTTTGCCTGGGAAAATGCCACTTCCTCTCCTGCCTCGCCCAGCAACGGAGCATGATGCGCCTCATCAGCCCATGGTCTGCAGGCTGTTGTTCCTCATGCTGACAGTGAAAGATGGTGTCCTCCACCCTGCCTCATCCACTGGCTCCATCCCACTGCCTCCTCTCTGGCCAGGCCTGGTAAGTTTCCTTCAGCAGATGAGGCTCCGCCATCCTGCCACACATGTTCCAGGGCTGCACCCTCACCCAGTGCCTGGATCCCAGGCCAGCAATGGGAGGAAGAAGACAACGAAAGTCAGACGGGTAGGGGTGGTGGTGGCGGCAAGGATAGGCAGAGAAGTGCAGGGCAGCCAAAGGGCAGCGATGGGGGAAAGACAGGCAGGTGGGGGAACTGAAAGCAGAGTTACTTCATACAGGGCAGGAAAATGTGACTATGGGAGGCTGCAGCGTTCGTACATGTGGGCTGGTTGCCAAGCACCCCCATTTACCATTACTGATTGGAAGGCTTATCCACCCAGGAGGAAATCCAGTAAGTTTTCAGGGAACCGTAAGAGTCATCAAAAATAATTTGGAAGAGATTCTATTAATATAGGATACCAGAGGAAGTGGGACTGTTAGTGAACAGAGAGCTCCCTTTTAGTCCTCAGCCTTTTCTTACCCTTGCTTCTTTGTGATTTGGCTGCTGGTACAAGAGCAGACCACTTTTGTAATAAACTGATAGTGAGAAGGATACTACCAGTGAGCCCAGAGAATTCATGTAACTGTCATGAATAACAGCCTCTTCTTAGTCAGAGTAAGCAACCTGTTATCCCCCAGAAGTTTTTAAACTACAATCTCCACAGTCCTTTGACATACTGGCTGGGGTGGAAGGGAGCTAAAATCCAAATATTTGGCAGAAACACTTAGTTAACTGTATTCTCCTGAAATCTGTCTAGCCATCCAATCTCTTGATCATACTGCATCATAACCATTTTAATCTACACTGCAACAGCATAAATTGGCATCTTTATGAATTAATCAGAATTAAATGCCATGAGTATGCATATAGGGCTTTATAGAATACAGACCCCTACCCTGAGAGTTGAAAATTCAAACATGGGGGAAGCAGTAGGAGAGGAAATGGAAACTAAAGTAGACATCATGCAACTGTTAAATTACACATGCTTAGGCTCAATTGCATATCAAATAAAATTGCAGACATCTTCAACTTTGATTTAAAAAAATGCCCTGGGCAGTACCACAAAATGGCTGCCATAGGAATGAGCTGGGGAACAGACAGTCACAAAACAGAGAAAGCTCTCAGCTTTGAATACAAGGTTCAAGTGCAAACTCTCAGTTGTCTCGGTTGCTGATTTGATGTTTCCCTCTCACCTCATTGTTACAAATTTCACTATTTGCTCTTCTGAGTTCTCACAGCTGTAGGAAAACAGCTGATTGCTGCTGTGTCATTTTGTAACCAGCACAAACTTCCTTAGATTACAGCATTGTCAAGAAGCTTTTGTAAAATCACGCAGTGGCTATTTCGTGGCTAGAAAGGACATCCTGCAAACACTGCCCTAGGGATTACGCTAGGGCAGGACAGGGCACTTTCTTATAACCAGAGACTGGACTTCTTTCTTTTGCCTGACAGAGAAAATGCCTTAATCCACACACCCCCATGGGGAAAATCAACCTAATTTGGGATGAAGGGGCTTAAACTGTAAGGGTTGGTACCCGCTTTAGCCCTTAAATCCCTGAAACCACCAATAAACTCACAATCCACTCCCCTGGAGATTTGGGACCCATCTACTCCAGGATAGCAAAAGGGATGCTATAGAGCTGCGTGCAGCCTGCAAGCCACTAGCTGCCAACTGCTAGGGAAGAGGAGAAAAAGGAGAATTTTAAGATGAAATCGCATGCAGCTTTGGGAAGGCAATTTCAAACACACAGGGCAGCTGGAGTAGAATTTTTTTTGAGCAAACCAGGCCTCTTTGCAATATTATAAAGGGAGATGTGGGACTGAACATTCTTCTTTATGAAATTGGTAATAATATTTCTACTCAGCTAAGAACTGTTACAACTTAAATCATGCCACAGAATATATATACAATTTATTTCTGCTTTCATAAATTCTGAAAAATTAGAAATGATCTACTTGTATTTTTTAAGTAGGAAAAAAAACATACACTTGAAAAAGAATAGTGATCCATAGATTGAATGAAGTAGTACACACAGAAAAGATACAGAGTAGTACATATATAAAAGGTATAGCACAAGTTAACATTTGCCTGAATTTTGTATCCTACCTTCAACTGCCAGGAAAGTTGCTGGCACAGAATGCAAGGTATCCATTTTATTCTTGGACATTATCTAAGAGGAAAAAGAAAAGTAATTTCTAGAAGAACAGCTTACAGAACAGAACAGTACTCTATTTCTGCATGTTTACTGCTGGATGGTATGCTAAGATTCATTGCTTTAAAACTGTTACTTGCTCAGTAAGTAATATGTCCAAAATACTCTGTAACTTCTTGTTAGGCTTCTGTTCCAGAACTGAACTATTACTTAGCATTTCTTATTAGAAAATGACATCCAGAGGGAAAAATAATTGCAAAATAGATATTCCTTTAATCACTAATTTTGTTTTAAGAAGTATCAGGACTGGAATCTGCCATGAGAAATGGGACAGTTTAAATCTTTCCTTCCCAGCACTAGTTCCAACCAAAATTATTTCTCTTCCAATGTCTGCACACTATGGCTGCTAGTTGCTGGAAAAAAAAAAGTTTCTATTAATGTCACCCACACCTTTATCTCCCACCTTAACTGTACTGCTGGAGGGGGCTTCATCAGGAATACAGCTGGAGAGAGATTTAGGCTTTATTTCCCTGCACAGCACAGTCACAATGTTAAGCCATGCACTAGTTAAAGAGATGTTCTAACCATAAAAACCTTGATGAAATCACATTCTTGAAAAAAAATAACCAGCCAAAACCTAAATCCCTGTTAGATTCATAATCTCCTTTATTAAGGAAGGGCTTATTTTTAAAAACATGCAAGCAGGCTACCAGTGTTAGAACCTCTGTTAGACCTAACTGTGCAAAAAACATGAGGGAGAGGAGCACATGTTCCTAATATAAAATAAGATAGCTCAACTTCTGCACAGGATTTTATCAAAAATTCCTTTCATTATTTTTTAAAAATGTCTTTATAGTAGCCATTTTAGTTTTTCACTAACTAGGTTTATTCTTTAATTTTTTTTAATGTGGAGATTTTTTTAACACAGTTCTCATGGCTAATAGGAGAATCAATCAATCAATCAATCAATCAATCAAGGGGTATATTAAACATACAGATGTGTCTAAAAGTTTCCTTGGCTCAGTTATACACGTATCACAATTCTAAAAGTAAATAAAGGCCTACCAGTAGGCTAAAAAGAAAAAATGAGATAACTAGTGTTACTTGTATTATCTCCCAGCCAACAGACCATCCAAAGTGTTCTCCTAGGATTATTAGCTGTCCACTGACCACAGGATGGAAATCAGTTTTATTCCCCGAGAGGAATTTCCATGGCCTTCAAAATTTTGCTGAACACAATGCCCAATATCACAAATAGTTTGCTATGCTGACGGGCTGTTGAGAATTATTGTTCAAAATCTAGGAGGGTTCTCAGATTTATCTGTCCTAAGCAAATGGTAATAATAAATTCCATACCAATAGTGCCAGTGGTTGGTATTTTTTATAAATTTTAGCAAAAAATTGTTAGCATTCACTATTTTTTGCCAATTCAATAGGTATAGGTGCATTTTGTTTTTATTTCTTGCCACTACAGTACATTTGCTTATTCAAGTGGTACTGCATTACTTACCAACTTTTAAATCCTGTATGAGACTTGTTCCTTACTAATTCACTGAGTGGAAGAAAAAATGATCCACAACAGGCCAGAGAAAAATAGTCAGCAAATGTCTATAATACAAAATTGCTTTTTTACTCTTTGGGAAAATATACCTGAGTAAGATTTGAATCCAATTCAGGAATCCCATTCCAAACATGTATAGGATTGACTATCTCTTCATTTCCATTTGAAAGATTCAAAACCTTTATTTATAAATAACATAATGTTTAGATATTAATACTTATAGAAAACAAGAACTTCATTTATACAGTAGAAGCACTATTAAAGTAACATAAACAACCACACTTACCTAATACATTCAAGACTCCTTACCTTTGTACCTTCAGCAGATATGCCTAAAATCTCAGCCTTGTACCACTGAATACCTGACCATACCATGCATTCAGAACCAATATCAAATCCCATTAAGTTGCAAATATTTTCTTTTTTTTCTGCAAGAAATAATACATTGTTTATTTACATTATTCAATCAATACACAGATCAGGCAACGGAATTGACAGCTGCAGTTCACATTGGCAATCTTAACTAGTATTGGCCAGTTCTAGGATTGGGCTACCAGCTGTAGCCATAGTAAGGAATTTATTTTGTTCAGTCTGGTGTGTCATCTGCGATGACACTTCAGGAAGACAACCTAGATAAGTCCACATGCTTTTAGCCATTTCATTACATGAAAACTATTTTTGAAAAGTACCTATACTTTTCAGTTAGAACATTGTATTCCAGAAAGATCAAACAGAGCTGATATTTAATACAACATCTTTTAAATTCAATTGTAATATCAACCATTTTGGTTCTTGGCTTAAATTTAAAGAAAATTAACACTACTTTGAATTTGAGTCCAGAAACAAATTGGTAGCTACTATCAATGGCTTGGCAGCTATTTAAAAATTCAGTTCTTCAAATGGAGTGATGTTATTTTACAAGTTCCACTTTTATCAGCGGTAATACATAGAAATATAGAGATCATCTTTTCCATCTAGGAAGGAGAGCTCTCTGCTTTGCAAGAGCCATCTAGTTACTATTGTGTTACATTGTTACTGTTGATTTTTTTTAAAATTAAAAATATATACACTATCTTTCTGCCCACAGATCACATAAGACAGCTAGGAATTTAACATAAACTATAACTTAATAGTTTTTTAAAAATCCTAAATATTATCCTCAACACAATCTTGGGTGAAATATGTTTGTTCCTAAAAGACGAATGAGTGGAAATCTAACATAATTCCCAAAGGTGTTTCATAGCTTGGGACAAACACAGAAGGTCCTTCCTTCATGATTGACAGACCTCTGAACATACAGAAATCTTTAAAAGGGGCTCTTTTGCTGACTTTAATGACTGGACAGGTTTATACTGAAATAGAAATAGTTATGTCATAAGATAAATTTAGGACTTATATGTTTAAGATTTTAAACTGTTGGAAAAGCAAGTGGCAACCACTGCAGGTTTTTAACACATGAATGATAGAATCCCAATAGAGTATCATGCACTGGACAGCAGACATTTACACTCTGATACCCTTCAAGCATAGCCTTATACAAACTATGCTACAATTGTCTGATTTAACTATGTGCAGGTCCCATTCCCAGGTCTTAGTAGTTCAGGAATGGTTCTAATTTTCAGTCTAGACATAACCATGCAAATATAGTGGAGCTTTTCCAGCACAAGGTAGAACCCAATATTGCAAGCCTTTCTCCTTTTTGAAGCACAACCAGATAGGAGACAGGAAAACAGGGAGCCCAGAAAGGTAACATGACAGTGCTAAAATCACCAAGAGGTCTAGGAGAATTATTAGGGCCACACTCCCAGCCTTTTCATTCACAAAGGCAATGTAGATTTAGCCTCATATCTCCCAGGTGAAATTGATCTGGTTAATCATTATTCTCCAGCTGGATCTGGAAATGACCACATTCTGAAATGAGAATTATGCTTTGTAAGGGGAAAATTATATAGTCTATACTCAATCTTTCATAATACAGCTTTTGAAAAATAACTGCAACCCCTCTCCTAGAAATTAAGTTGCAATCATTTTGCTGTCCAGTATCATTTGTCCCAAAGACTTTTTCCAGTTACCTTGCCTAGCTGAACTTGCCAGGTGAACAAGATTGTGTGTAAGCTCAAATCAACTTTGCCACTCAAGGTTCTACATTAATGCCTTACCTGTATCATGTATTAAGGATTCTACTCTCACTTCATCTAGTTGTATATTTGTTAAAGAATCCTTTTCAACAAAAATAGTCTCTTTAAAACTTTCATGCATGGTCCTCTGCGTTTCTCCATAATTCTTTCCTAACAGAGTTTGCTCGTCAGTAACATTGGGATTTTTGTCCTTTTTTTCCAGTTTACACTCTTCAACAAGGCGTTCAGTGGAATAGAATTCTTGTGGTTTAACTTTAGTTTCTGAAAATGATGACTGGATTTTATTATCTGCAGGAATAGACAAAGTAGACTGTTGCAAAAATGGTGTATTATCACTGGCTTTGTCAGTCAGTAAAGGGAACACTTCAGGTGCCATCACCTCTAATATTAAATTTTCATTATCCTTCGTTAGTGAAGTGTTCTCTTCTACTTTGTGTGCTGACTGTCCTTCCATGTGTTGTGATTCAAGTAAACACAATTCTGACCTCCCTTGTGGCTCATTGTAGTAAGTTTTTATTTCCATGGTCTCTGGCTCTAGTGTGTCTTCAAACGAGGGCATTTTTAATGTCTCTAGCGTGTCTGGCATGTTCTTTGCATTATTTAATGGTGGAAGCACTTCAAAGGGCACAAAGTCTGACAAGCTCTTTGTATCATCCAAAGGCAACTGAACTTCAGGATTATCTAGTATTATTTCTTTGTCTTCTGCTCCTCCCTGAGATTCAAGTGGATTATATTCTAACACCTCGATTTTACAAGTAGAAACCTGTATTTCAGAAAGACCCATAGAATCTGCTACATTTTTTCCTTTTCCAGAATAGTTTGTTTCATTATTAAGTGTATCAAATGTAGTCTGCTGGCTCTCTGTATCAAATACTTCATGGGTGATAAAGTGGTGTTTGAGTTGATACTTGGATGGCTGTGAAGGAAATGTTTCTGATAAAACACTGTCTCTCATACCAAAAGACTTATCTACTGACTCTAAAAGATTTGGACAACAGCATACATCTTCCAAAATACTAGTATCTTTTGGAGCCATTACTGTACAAACAGATGTTTCAGTTTCAAATAGCAGAGATTTTGAATTCTCTTCCTCTGCATTTCCAATCTGCTCTTCTAGGTTGTAAGTATTTGCCATAGTTGAATTACCATTTTCATCATTATGTTTCCAAAAGTGTTTTATTTGTTCATTGATACTTATCTTTTGACATTCCAATTTAACTACAAACAAGGGAATTTCAAAAGAACCATGGTTCAGTTTGTCCATGACTGTAATCTCTAATGGAAGATCGGCTATCATATCATAGAAAATTTTATTTATTCCTTCAGCCCATGAACCTTTTTCAGAATTAAAGCCAAAAAGGCAACACAAAAATGCTTGTGGTGGAAGTATTAATAGTTCATCAGGAATTTGCCTGATCACTTCTATACTGACAAGCTTCTCAGTTCCATGATCAATATCAGTTACTGTCAAGGAGCTTCCCTCTATATGGCTAACAACTGCTCGGTGAAATAAATCATCTTCACTAGACTTTGCTAGACAAGGACAGCCATTTTTAAGATCATCAACGTGGATTCTTGCATGTTCTCCAGCTTCCTGAAGCTTTCTTTGAATTGAACTAATATCATTTTCAACAAACTGACACCAAAAATACTCTGGGCTCTTTGGAACTAATGAAAAGGCTTTTGCAGTTTGACCTACCTTAGGTGTCTTCCAGAGAAATGATTGGCTAACTGAAAGTCTACTGTGCATATCAGAAAGAGTATCTTCACATAGGTTTACATTGCCAGTCTTGTCTTCTCCTTTGTCAGCTGTCTCTATCAGGAGAGATTTTTGATGTGCAAGGCAACTATTAATCATATCAACAATTATATCACCTTTTTCATCACTGAGAATTATTTCCCACTTGCCTTCTACCTTCTCAACAAATTGACTGTTCATTTGAATCTCACTTGTCATTTGGGAGAAATACAGCATTGCTTCCTGTGTCCATTCTGAAATCTCTGCTGAATTAATACTGCCCAGGGTACAGTGGATGCTCATTACAGGGAAAGATGAACAGTCTTCAACAAGTCTGCATGTTTTATGGATGCTGACTACCGCAGTATTGCCATAATCGATATAACATACCTCTACCAATTCACTAGTGGACTCCTTAATAATTACAGCTCGATACCATAGGCCATCTTCTAAAAAAATTGCACATATTAAATCTCCTACATGAAGCTGTTGCCCTGCTAAACTTGAAACTGTTTTAGAACTGTTTATTTTCTCTGAAATACTATCAAGAAAAGATTCATCTTCTACTAACTGTACATAAAAATCAGAAAGATTATTTATGTGAGAAACATACACTAAAGATTTAAGACCAGCCTTTATGTTTTTTTGAGGTAGTTCACATATATTTTTATGTGAAGAATATGTTATAGATTCAGATTGATTTCTAATATCACATCGCTCCCTTTTCTTAAGAAGGGCTACACATTGCCTGTCCTTCCTATCTGCCACAGAGTTACTTTTGCTAAATCTTTCTGTGAGCCCTAGGAACTTTCTTGCTACCTGACTTTTAGTTTTCTGCTGCAATTGGCATGCTTCTCCAAAAACAGCACTATATTTAGTCTTGCTCTCAAAAACAGGTTTGACAAAGTCTACCAAAGCTAGCTCCTTTTCACTGTTTTCTTCCCTACTAAGTGAGTATCTAGAAGACAGAGTTCTGTTTTCTGTGTATCTGGTAATCTCTTTACTAGCCTGCAAACCTAAACTTTGTTTCAGTTTTGCATTGATCTGCATTTTACCATCATATAGTTCAATTAGCAATTTTCCATCAGGATCTTTTGCTACAATCAAAGCTTTTAAGGGCTTATCTAACACTGCTTGTTCAAACCACTCAACAGCATCTTTTGATGGATCAACAGTATCAGACAGAGAACATTTTATAGCCTGCATAGGCAAAAGCATTAACTCATAAGCATCATTTGGTACTACAATCAGGTCTTCATTTTTTAACAACTGTGTATTTCCAAAATCTACAAAAAAAACCTCTTTGGTATCATTTTTTGAAGTCACTACCGCCCTATACCAGCACTCATCAATATACTTTGCAAGATACAAATTTCTACAGGTGTGTGAAGTTTGTAAACTGTGCCACATTTTGCTTAGTTTACTAATGTTACTAGTTAACTTTTCAAGAGCATTTGCGTTCCTAGCAAGTTGACAGAAAAAGAGACAGGGACTATTAACATGTGTGACATAAACAACCTCTTCACTTCCTATTTTGATATTGTGCATTGAATAATAGTATGATAGAAGATGTACAGATGTTATCAAGGGTTTCTCTGTTTGTACAAATGTGGCTAGACCCTTTCTTATTAAAAAATGGCAAACACTTTCAAAAGGGGTAATTAGGTCAACAATATTAAAAAGATCTGTACTGTTTAATGCTGCTGAAGCAAATATAGTACACTTCAGTTCCAATTTAGATGCTGAATCCACAAATTCATGAAAAGCTTCAGTGGCTTTCTTATCCCAAACAAAAGGGTTTGGATTTTTTGGCTGAATTAAATTGTAAAGGCTACATCTGAAAGCTTGAGCTTTTAGCGTCAGAAACTCTGCTTTGGTTGCACGAACATTTTTCAGTGAAACATGCTCTTTATATCCATAATCAACATAAGCGACTTCAACCTCTTCTGCATAATGAACCTTATTAATGATAAGAGCTCTGTACCATTTTTTATCCTCAGAACACTTAGCCAAACATACAGGATTTGGCCAATCATGAGGCTCCGCTGAATGAATGCAATAATCCTGAATTTTAGCCATAAGTATCCTCAGTTCATGGGAATTCTTAAATAATTGACACCAGAAATGACTAGGATTTTCTATATGTGTTACAATCACATCAACTGTACTTCCAAATTCAAGCTGTCCTTCACCTGCCTTTATTTCAGAGTAGTTCTGCATCTCACATGATAAATTTTCTCTGCCACCCAAAGTTGATGCAGAATAAAAAGCTCCCTCACTGGAGTGGTGTTTGGTTTTCAAAACTTCAACTGTGTAAGAGGATGTAGAATCATGTTTTTGTGGGTATTCTACTTCATCTGTTGTTGATGTTATTTTCACAGGCCTTAACCCCTTTGGCTTGCCTTCACAATCCCCTGCCAACAGCCTGTTTGATATTGTCTGGAGAGTTTCTAGTACCTCATGATGCTTCGTGTACTTTCTCTGGGACATGATTTTACCCAAATTTTTTTCTCCCATCAGAGAATTATCAAAAAGTTCAACTATATAAGCATCTCCTTGCATGCCTAGAACTTTGATCATCAACTCCTTGTTTAGCACAGATTTCCTAAAATAATCAATAGCTTCTGGGTTCCATGACCGACCTGTGAAAGGATTAGCCAGTGCACACCGGACTGCCACAGCAGGAAGCTCTCTGAACTGGGGAAGCAACTCTTTCACCTTATACAAGTCAACTATTTCAGTGTTTCCACGATCCACCAAATACACTACAATTCCTTTTCCCTGAACTTTAGTAACAAGGGCACGATGATAAGAATTCTCCTTCAGCATGACACAGCATAGGGATCCTACCTTGGGCTCAAGTAGAATACCCTCTAGTTTCTTACTCTGAGAATAAAAGTCACTTAAGTTCCACTTTAGGTGACAAAGTGGCTGTTGATGTTCCTGCAAATGCACCCAGAATGCTGAAGGGTCTTGAAGAAATGACACCTGAACATTATGGTACTCGCCTGCCTTCAAACGCACAACAGAAAATGGGACAGCAGCAATAGCAGACAATGCCTCTGACAAAGAACCAAGTTCCTTTTGGGCTGAGACACCCAGACTTTCTGATTCAATCATTAAATCAGAGGTGTATTCTTGATTACTATGCAAGAGACTCTGAGCCAGGCAATGTGCCTGCACCCCATATAGACAGTTAAGGTTGAGACCATCTTCCCCATATAGAGTAACATAATAGAGATGCTCAAAGGGACAATAAGCTTCAATGTGGGCTTGTACTACCTTGCCCAAGAGCAATGTTTTAAGCTGACTAATTTGTGAATGGGCCCAGCCACAGCCTCCATCAGTAATACCTTGCAGCGAGCAAGGGTAGGTCACTACTGGCATGCGGAAATATTCAGCAGGCAAGTTGTGCAGGTTTCTCTTTGTCACAAACTCTTTCCTGCCATAATCCACACAAATCACTTGAGCCACTGCCCCTGGCTGATCCTCTAGATCACCTGCAGGGTATATTTCTAGTAATAAAGCTCGATACCAGCATCCATCTATGCCCCGGGCTGCACAGGGATAACCTGGGGTGGGTAAAGACTCTTCCACGTATTTTCCTTTTGATGCCTCAAAATCTCGGTACATAGCATCTGAAAGTAGTTGGATCTCTTTAGAAAGACTACGCAGCTGGCAATATATTCTGTGCGGATCAGAGATTTGAGTCACCACCACAGGCTCAGTCACATTCAACTCCAGTTGAGGATAGAAGAAATCCATTGTGACATGACCCTGCTGGGACTGGGCAGCAGCAGTAAAGATTGGGGACTGGGACAAAGTGGAAGTTGGCTCCAATGGGACAGAAGCAATCCCAGTAACTCCTAAGGTGGTGCTCAGCAGGGTACAAAAAGCACTAGAGGCAACGTGGCTGGCAAGCCCAAGATGGCACATCTGTGTCAGCAGCCAGGGCACTTCCAGCACCACAAGGCGTTGCGGGATCAGCACTTCTCGGATGAGGCCGGACACCTCTTTGCCATGCAGGACACCCAAAAACTCGATGGCATCAGCTGCCCAGCTTAAGTTCAGTATCTGGGATCCTAGCGGGATTAAGCTCTTTGAGCCCCAAGGAGCGGCGGTTGAGGATGCCCCGATCCCGCCGGGAGGGAGCAAGTCCGCAAGGATGCAACCCATGACTTCGGACGGCAAGTGGAAGAGTTCGCTGCGGCCCCGCGCCAAGTAGTAGGAGCCGGCGGTCACCGTGCGGCCCTCGTCCAGCAGAAAGACGCGGTAGTTTTGCCCCAGCTTCGGCCGGCGGCTCACGAAACGGCGGCGGTGCCACCGCCCGCCCAGCTCAACCAGACACAGGTCGCCCAGAGCCAGGGCCTCGCCGTCGCCGTCCCCTCG